CAATATTATTATTTTTTGAAATATATTTTTATCGATTTCAGAGAAGAAGGGAGAGAGAGATAGAAACATCAATGATGAGAATTATTGATTGGCTGCCTCCTGCATGCCCCCTTCTAGGGATTGAGCCACGAACCAGGCATGTGCTCTGACCAGTACTCGAACTGGCGACCTTTTGGGGCATGGGATAATGCTCAACTAACTGAACCACACCAGCCAAGGCTAAGCCATTTATACTTAAAATCACTATGGTTGCTATTGTTGTCAGGGTTTCTCAGTGCAGGTGTTGGGACATTTTTTATGCTTTTCTTCAAGTTACAGAGAATTTCTTTTTTAATCCTCATCCAAGGATATTTTTCCATTGATTTTTAGAGAGAACGGAAGAAAGAGGGAAAAACAAAGAGAAATATTGATATGAGAGAAGCATCGATTGATTGCCTCCTGCACGTGTTCCAACCAGGATCCGGGCTGGGGAGGAGCCTGTAACTAAGATTTGTGACCTTAACCAGAGTCGAACCTGGGACCCTTTGGTCCGCAGCCTGATGGTCTATCCACCGAGCCAAACCAGCTACAGCTAGTTACTGTCATTTTATAAAGTAATTAAACTTTCAGATTAACTTTTTGGTGTTTTATCTTAGCTTTCTAGAAATGACTTGTAAAATTGTTCTTTTTTTTAATATCATTTGGTAAATTATGTAAGATTCTACTTTAATTTTCTTATAAATATGTCTTTTCTTTTGTAGGTATGAAAACTTTCAAAGACGACTAGCACAGAACCCTCTCTTTTGGAAAACATAATTTGAATAAAATAATTTTTAATGGATTCTGGAATTTGTCCTGTTTTGAATATAAATGACTCCATTTAAAAGCATGAAATCAAAAGGATCATGAAACCTACGTTTAAAAACTGTTTAGTGACTATGAAGCTTAATTAAAATCTTTATAAAAAGTTAAAAACATTGAAAAATGAAAATATGTTCCTCATTAATGACTTTCCCCCCTTAAGTTTAAAATGTTCAGAGGCAAAACATTTTGTTTTGGCTGTGATTCATTTTTTTACTTAAAAATAAAGCATATTCACAACCGTAGTGTGCCAGATGTCATTGCATTGATAATCTTTTTTTTATTTTATTTTTTAAAAAATTTTATTTTTGAAAGTATTACATATTCTACCCCTCTCCCCCGGCATGGACCCCTTCTAGCCTGCCCCCACTCGAGGCCTCACCACCCTATTGTCTGTGTCCATGGGTTATGCATATATGCATACAAGTTCTTTGGTTGATCACTTCCAACCCACCCATCTTCTCCCACCTTCCCTCAGAGATTCCGCAGTCTGTTCCATGCTTCTGTGTCTCTGGATTTATTTTGTTCATTAGATTCCACATATGAGTGAAATCATGTGATGCTTGTCTTTCTCTGACTGCCTTATTTTGCTTAGTGTAATACTCTCCAGTTCCCTCCACGCTGTCTCAAAGGGTAAGAGAGTCTTCTTTCTTTTTTTAAAAAAAAATCTATTTTATTGATTTTTTACAGAGAGGAAGGGAGAGGGATAGAGAGTTAGAAACATCGATGAGAGAGAAACATCGATCAGCTGCCTCCTGCATACCCCCTACTGGGGACGTGCCCACAACCAAGGTACATGCCCTTGACCAGAATTGAACCTGGAACCCTTGGATCCGCAGGCTGACGCTCTTTTCCACTGAGCCGAACTGGTTAGGGCGAGAGTCCTCTTTCTTACTGCTGCATTGTATTCTGTGGTACAAATGCACCACAGCTTTTTATCCACCCACGAACTGATGGGCACTTGGCCTGTTTCCAGATCTTAGCTATTGTAAATTGTGCTGCTAGAACATAGGGGTGTGTACATCCTTTTGATTGGTGTTCCTGATTTTTTGGGATGTATTCCTAGAAGTGGGATCACTGGGTCAAATGGCAGTTCCATTTTAAATATTTTGAGAAAATGCCATTGTGTTTTCCATAGTGATTCTACC